TGCTGCAGGCCTCAAACTCGATGGCGATGACCACCATCACGATGCTCACACCGATGGTCTAGAGCTCGGAGCTGGAGTAGGGGTCGGAGTTGCTGCAGGCCTCAAACTCGATGGCGATGACCACGATCATGATGCTCACACCGATGGTCTAGAGCTTGGAGCCGGACTAGGAGTCGGAGTTGCCGCGGGCGTTAAACTTGATGGCGATGATCACCATAACGATGCTCACACCGATGGCCTAGAGCTTGGAGCTGGACTAGGTGTCGGAGTTGCTGCGGGCGTTAAACTCGATGGTGATAACTATGATTACCATTACAAAGCTCACACCGATGGCCTTGAGCTTGGAGCTGGACTAGGCGTCGGAGTTGCCGCGGGCGTTAAACTTGATGGCGATGATCACCATCATGATGCTCACACAGACGGTCTAGAGCTTGGAGCTGGACTAGGAGTTGGAGTTGCTGCGGGCGTTAAACTCGATGGTGATAACTATGATTACCATTACAAAGCTCACACAGATGGCCTAGAGCTTGGAGCTGGACTAGGAGTTGGAGTTGCCGCGGGCGTCGAACTCGATGGCGATGACCACGATCACGATGCTCACACCGATGGTCTAGAGCTTGGAGCTGGTCTAGGAGTCGGAGTCGCCGCGGGCGTCAAACTCGATGGCGATGATCAGCATCGCGGACGCCGTCTCCGCTTACAGATCTAGAATGCGGATGTCTTTCACATTCTCGTACATAATTTCCTCCAGTGTGAATAAGGGCTTATCCATATACATTAATTTCAACATTTGATTTTTTCTGAAAAATCTAAATAAACAAAACGCACAATGATTTTTGTTTCGAAGATTCGGCCATCTTTACAAATGGTAATTTTACTTATAAAGAGTAGTTTTGATATTGAAACTTTTGTGACCCAAATCTTGTCGTTGGCGACGTTGCTCTCCCAACTCTCATGGTCAGGTGCAGGTTTACTATCTCGACAAAGCCAAACTACTTTTCAAAACAAGCATCAGATCCAGGAGGGTCTGAAAGTGATATAAGTCGATGCAGCGTCCGAACAGTCGCTGCCAGTTTTGTTTCGATTTTGGTAGAAGAGAGGTGGCTGTCATTGGTGTGAAGCGGCAACGTAAACAAACGTCGAATCTGAAGACATGTGGATCTTTTCGTTCACATTTTAATATCAAGCTTCATACAGACCAACACAAATCTTTGTGGATAATATATAACATTCTTGACGCCGAAAGAAAGAATCTGTTATCAGAAAGTAAATTCCCTTTCTCCAGCACGATTAATGTCCATTTCAAAAGATCCGATGACACGCTGCAATTTTGGTGACAAAGATAGCGTGCAAAACATAATCGTAGGGGCTTTCTTCGATTTTGATGATTTCACTGGACTTTTTGGTGATTGAGCTCTTTCGTTATATCACCAGCAGAAGAATGAGCATGACATTGTAATTGGATATCAAGTCGAAATCCAGAACGTCATGCAATCTAATCCCGTGGCCGATCTTCTCTCCCACGGGCTCTCTTTTCGGCACACAACTGATCTGTCAGATACGTACAGGGCTAGGAAAGATTGGCTCGGTATATGCCACTGGTATATCGAGTATTGCAAGGATTAGTGTTACGATCAACCTACTAGCTACTGAGAATCTAAGAAAGTCCTTGCATTTTTTTTGGCTTTTGATTTCTCTGGACATCTCGTACTCGCTTTCATTGATGTCAAATCTTCACTAGCTCGCTGTTCCTATGTTTGACCGTCACACATCTGCGAATGACGATCGACTGATTATCTTGGTACAGGACAATATCTGTCTGTATTAAAAACTAAATTGATTGGCATCGGCTCTGGCTGGGGATGTTATGAATAGTACACATAGCAGTATCGTGACCATGCTTAGGAAATTATAATCCATTTCCAATCTATCGTACATTGTTTCTGCATCTGGTCGATCTGGTGGCCAACTCTAAGCTAAAATATCTACTTGATAGCCAATTTATGACGGTGGTTAATACAAAAGCATCCTGCTTATGCAAGCAGGAAACTCTCATACAGGAGAAGTGTAGTGCTTAAAGATGACGATTCTTTGGTTTGTCATGAGCTCATGAGCGAAATGGCAACCCCATCACAAAGATGCCATTCAGGGGTTCTATGCTTCTCGTAGAACCAATTAGCTGCAACTTACGTCTCGGTATGGGCCTATAATTTCAGCTATATCGGCATTCTACTATCACGTCGACATCAGCATCATGGTTTTGCAGACCAGATCATAAGCAATGTGCCAACAGATTGCTGAAGCTCGATGACAGGTACAGATGCTGGGAATCTGACCAAAAACGAGTGAGTTCTGTCATTACCGCAGGTGAACACTCGACAGAATTTCAGCCATAAATACTCTGGTGACTGGACGTTTTCGTATCAATCTATATGCGATTTGTTGACGACCGTGGAATCGAAATCAACAAAATTATGTTCTCATCGAGCAGGTTGAAGTGAAACGAAATGTTGGTAGGTTTGTCACTGATAAAAATGGGTAATGTGGTGGCGATGCACTTAAATTTAATGATTGTTCCGCCAAAGAGCATCGTTTGCTTTTAATTTCTATAGCTGCATGAGTTTGTGGCCAAAATATCACAAAAGCTGCTTGTAGAAAATCTAATTGCGGGACTTTGCACACTGGAAGTGCTGATCTAGCAAGTCCGTGTCGATAAATGCATAGAGAATGACAAGAGAGAGATTGAAAGAGTCTCTTGTAAAGTGGACGTAAACAGTACGCTGTAGTCACGGATTGTTCGCTGATATTGACACTTTAGATCCTATACCACCTACCTTTGAGCAGATTGTGTGCACAATACCCGATCTTTAAGTATGTCATCCCTGTTAGCTTCAACGACGACCGCGAAAAGATTGTAGCATCTGAAACGGCGGGTATGGCGGAGCGACGGCCAATGAGAGGAGCGACAGCGCCACTTCTTTGTCACTGGCAAACCTCATTAACCATTGAGCGCGGGTGCGCAAATAGCGGACTTGCAACAGTAGAACAATGTAAGTCAGGCGTTGAATGGGGCGGTGGAGTCAGGGTTTTTCCATTCTGTGACTTTCTAAAGGTCGCGGTGACTCGACATTTCACACTGAAGCGCTTTTTGGACGTCAGTGCATTCAGATTCCAGGGTCAGCACGCAGCAGCATGGGCAAAAACAAAGGCAGACACAACTAGAATGTCTGATTTGCGAAGATAACGATAAAGGGTGCTTTGTATTATACAGGATACTTCGTATTTACACATAGATTACACGGCGGCGCAAGATTACGCGCGTCATATGGACTCGGTCGCGCTTCAAGCAATCTACAAGCAAGTGGCACCAGAATCTACCTCTTGAGCTTTTCATAAAGCGACTGCAACAGACGTTAAAAAACGCTTACCGCCTAAAGAAGCTCTAACTTCCCATAATGAGCTGGCCCGAGTATCAATTTAACTAGGTAGTGGGGAGTAATGCGTGTAGCGGCGCTGATTCGCAGACGCTCGACCCATCGTTTACTATGCAAGAAGAGAGCTCTACATGATGGTGCTCCCAAGTATGACACACGTCAGATGAGCTATTTTACTCGAACAGAGAAGCTTGTACACCTCGAGAAGCCGGAAAAGCTGGAAGTCTTGCTCGTTTGGCAAGGACGTCGTATCACACTTGTTTGGTTAACTTGTGTCTACCATCTACCGTTGCTGACACGAAATAGTGCGGCATATTGCAAACTGGGACAAAATAATACAGAACTAGACTAAAGCAAATTTGGTGGACCTATTTTTAATTTTACTTGGTTATAAGAGTACTTCAACTTAAGTATACACACATGTCAAATCAAGATATCGAATAATTTCTTCTGTTCTTTGAGTGAGACCAGCACCCGAGCTTTGCGATATGCTCTCCATAGTGTCGATGGACAGGTGGTTAAAGCGTTAAATTTTTCTTACCCGATTATAAATTATGTACCACCAGCATAGCAAAATCTAAATCGTATGTTTTCTCGGTGTCGAGAGAAATCCTCTCAGAAATTTTGTGCTTGAGCTCCTCAGCACGTCGAACCACCACACCCTGCTTGTCGATCTGGGCTGCTATGATACAGCAAATTTGGAAAATAAAATGGCAAACGCACTAAAAGTTTATCAGAGTCTCATTTGGACGTCTTCACCGTTATCCTGTTTTATTGCTTAACTAATTGCCGTAAGGACGAGCAGGTTGTTGCATAGAAAAGCACTCAAAAGCGGGTTTACCCAAACTCTAAAAGTTTTCTCAATTCTTCTAGATTGACGACCAACTCGCTTGCTCCACATGAGATTTTCAGCACCATCGAACTTCGGTATTGTTTCACTACCACGTCAATCGGCGTAATCGTGCTATTGTGAACTTGATCATCACAATAACTTTTACGAAAGACATGGTGGAGATCGACAAAATCTCTGGTCGAATTGTTGCTCGATTAATGACTCGAGTCGCGTATTTTCACCCCATCGGAACAATCACTCGTGCTGGAGGGTGAACTACAAAAAAACAAAGCCTTAGGTATGCTCCATGTGTCCAGTAATCCGATCTGGATTCCATTCAAACAATAGACACTCGATTCTGGGTATGAGTTCATGCGACCCAATCCGTGGACATCCACCGTTTGCAAAGCGCAAGCACTGCTGCTGACTTGTTGAAGGTACGCGATATGCGCCTTCGATCAGCGCATTTAATAGTGCAGAATCGAGTCAACTTTGATCAAGGATGCTCGTGAAGTGCGCTCGGTTATCAGTCGACTTCACGACGAGAGGGACATAGCAAGAAGAGCATGGGACAGTTTCCCTAAGCAAGGTTCGTCTTTGGACACGCATCGGCCACGCGAACGATGCAGAGACAGTCGCCCCAACGTATTCTCGCTCGCTGGGAACCCCTGCCATTTGACCAAGAGCTCCTTCCAACTGCGGACCTTCCTCTCTGCCACCACGTTCTTGACGTAGTTGCCTCGATAACTTGACGATCTAGAAGAGGGGGAGGTCCCCGAAGCAGGCGTCCCCTCTTCTTCGTCTTTGGCTGGCACGCAGTCTTCTTTTGCCTTTGAACTGCGTTTGAGGATGGCGGGGAAGCTTCTCTAGCTGATAAACCAGTGGCTAATTGAGTTGACCGATCGAGTGTCGTCGAAAAGACAACGCATGAAGGATAATCAACAGTTTCTTCTCGAAGTTCGCGATTTCTCATGGCGTCATAAACTCGCCTATGGACGAACTGAAAAGGGGATCCGTCAATCATCGGCGTAACATGCGCCTCGTATACTATATTGTACTACAAATAATCGTTATGGGGAACTACAATCTGTGGCTCGTCGTCACATGCAACTCCATAGTTAAGGACACCATCTTTTCATGCATAACGATGCAATTTGTTTTGAAGCGACCAGAGAGCTTGTTGTGGAGTTTCATATCACTCGATGACAGTGCTCTGCTGATCAGATCACGCTGTCCATCCTTAACATACGCTCGACGTATCATATCGAATACATGTTTTTTGATATAGCTTTTATGAGCTAGCTGTGACAATGTATCTGGCAGCACGTTCAGTTTCCCTGGCTTGTACGCGACCGTGAAGTTGTATTTTGCGAAGAATGATAATCGGCAAGCCATTCGCTGCGATAAGTGAGCCGACAGAACTGCATAACTCTAATCAGTGTAGACGATAAACGGGCTCGAACCCCAGAGGTCAACATGAAACTTTACCAGAGCATGTTTCATTACGAAAAGCCCATCGTTGTGGATATATTACTTCTTTTCTGCTGGCGTCAGCCTATCTCGATTGAAATGATACGATCACGTCCTTCTGAGTACTTTTGCAATAATATGCAACCGATTAAAAATTCAGAGCCGTCAAACACCACGCCATACGGCTTCGTATCATTTGGTCAATCATCGTGCTTCCATCTAACTGTTCTTGATTCGATTGAATGCTTCTTTACAATTGAATAACCACTTCCATGGTGCGTCCTTTTCAGCAAGTTAGCGTACCGTTTTCGGGTAGTTACGCGAAAAACGATGCAGGTAATTGAATAAACCAATTATTTCCTCAAATTCATTTAACTTCGTGGCGTTGGCCACTACACAACTGATTTGACCTTCTCAGGCACTGTACGAACACCATGTTCACCAACATAACAACAGAGGACCGGTTTTACTTTGAAAGAATCGGTTGTAATCAACGTTCATGCATATATTCTGACGCCACACGGAGTTGCTCTAAGTACCATGCTTCAACAGATTCTCCATCTTCGTCCTTCGAATGAACAAAAACATTACAGATTTGTGCGAAGCATCGCAGTGGTCGGAACAGATGTGAGACCAATCGATTGAACGCTGCTGGGGCATTTACTTGTCCATGTGGTATCACAAGCCACTCCCATAATATACCGGACGGTAATAATAAAAAAGGAGCGCACTCCTCCCTCATCAAGATTTGGTACTGTCAATCGACCAACTCAAGTACACCTAACTGTGTACAGCCGGACATCTGAGAAGAAACGTAATCCAGTTGTCAGTATCATCGCGCTTGTTGATTGCACGGACGCGGGATAGATCATCCCCGGCTCTACAAAACGACACTGGTAGGACATACGGTGGATAATGACATACATACGCGGAATCCGGGTCGGCGCGGGAATCATCTGCACATTTATATTGTTATATGAGTGAGCGATACTCCATTTATCATTCGGTTTACGCACACAAAACGTCGGTGCTCTGTGAAGAGACTTGTATCCCCTCACCACACCAGCAGCTTGTTTTGAACAAAGACTTGTTTATGTAAATCATTAGAATCAGTTGGATTCTTCAAAAGAGCGGATCATCTGCGTGACTCCACACGCTGTCGAAGTTTCTCGAAAACCGAATCACCCACAATTTATTATAAGCGTCGTTCCGCAGAGTCGACCTTCAACTGTAGCAACACGATCTCAGCAATGTCATCACACATGAGGTCTTGTAGGAAGACATCGTAAGTGACATTATCGAGCTACACCAGCTCTTCCATCGTCGGCAACGATGCAAAAAAATGTTCTAGTAACCTACACTCAGTTGTTGCATCCTCAATACGTAGAACAGCATATTTGCATGCATTATTCCATCACGGGGAGTAGTACGCTGGACTAACTCGCTCGCGAACTCAACCGTAACCAGAGCGGAAGTATCAACACCGCGGTCAAAAAATCCGTTGATTTCTTCACTTGTTTGCGCTCAATCGCATAACGTGTAGGGGCATCATCTTTGCTGTCCGTTGTATTAGTAAGAGTATTGATGTATGCAGGCACAGTCGATTCTCTTGATTTTTCATTGCACACCTGTCTTCTTCTGTCTTGGGGGGGGGCAATAAATGGCATCTCTCCCTCATAAATCTGTTCCGTTGGGAAAATCGCCAAGCTTCAACGATTCATCAGTTTGCCAGTTCCGGACACCACTTGATCCATCAAGCACTTTCAGAGTGACCATCCGTAGCCACTCCATAAGACTCCCTATCTTCCCTGACCTGTAAATTGTCAATTGCATGACTTCCAATGGAGGGTGGATCACTTTCAGCAGCATACGACTGTGTGCTACTTTTGGTGCACAGGGAAAGTGGATTTATTACTCCTAAGAGTTTCACCTACCCCAGTGAGCTACTCTCAATCGTTCTCGATCGCCAATCTATCCATGGCTCGTGCTTCTCAAGCTACATTATATCTAAAATTAGGTCATACCGTTTGTCCATCTCAATGACTGTAAATATTCCTGTCAAGATGAAGTTTTGGACTTCACTGGTAGATCAACCGCAATTTTCTTCGCGGTGACCACCGCACCAGCTGGTAACTTCGCTGAGATAAACCCGTTGCTTCTATGTGTTGCATCCGAAATCACTAAATCATTTTCTGCAATAATTTTCTTTCGCGCATTGTTACGCGACGCGCCAGAGTCGATCACGATCTAAATAAACGACTGTAACCCTTCACACTCGCTATGACCACAAGGAGAACACTTCGACTGGTGTCGTTTATGAAGGACAACGATCCTTCGAGGGATAAACCCTCACAAGTGATTCTACCACCACATTTGCAAGAGCTTATAAATGATCCGGCATCTCGTGGTACTGGTATCATGTGACTCGGGACCATGACGAGAGCCGTATTGAAAGATTTGGCTCTATGAGCAATCACCGGCGGAAA